GTTAGTTTTTCATAACCAAGCTTCAATATATGCGGCCTCGAATAGAAGAAACTCAATTTTAATCTCTTTCCAGTTGCTCGATCTCATCATCAACACCTTTTACTCAAACAAAGAAATCTTCTTGAGAGAATTGATTTCCAACTCTTCTGATGCCCTCGACAAAATTCGATATGCATCTCTTACCGATCCTACTCAACTTGATTCTCAAAAGGATTTCTTCATCAGAATCACTCCCGACAGTAAGTTGCATTCCTCTTGCTTCCTTTTTCGCAATATATTGCCTCGCACGCATTAATCGTCATGTTTTTGGCTTGTTACAGAGGAGAACAAGACTTTGACACTTGAGGATTCTGGGTGAGTTATTATGTTTTGTGGCGTGTTTTATGTGTCATTTATTGATATTGTCTGTTCCTTATGTTTAGTATCGGTATGACCAAGGCCGACTTGGTTAACAACCTTGGTACTATCGCCAAGTCTGGAACCAAGGCTTTCATGGAGGCTCTCTCCAGTGGAGCTGACATCAGGTTAGTCGCAAAAATATAATCCAGTTTTTGATCATTCAACTGACTGTCTTGTTTGTCTCTAGTATGATCGGTCAATTCGGTGTCGGTTTTTACTCCGCTTACCTCGTTGCTGACCGTGTCACCGTCATCACCAAGCACAATGACGATGAGCAATACATCTGTTGAGTTTCATTTCCTTTTCCCTCACCAGGTCCCTTGCTTCTGGGACATCCTTTTCTTACCATACTGCGTCTCTTGATTGAACAGGGGAATCCGCTGCCGGTGGAACTTTCACCATCACTCCTGACCCAGCAGGTCCAACCCTCGGTCGCGGAACTCGAATGATCCTTCATCTCAAGGAAGACCAAATGGAATACATCGAGGAGAAGCGAATCAAGGACATTGTCAAGAAACACTCTGAATTTATCTCCTACCCCATCCAACTTGTTGTCACCACCGAGGAGGAAAAGGAAGTCGAGGATGAAGACGTAGAGGAAGTTGCTGAGGGCTCAGAATCTAAGGAGGCCAAGGTTGAAGAACTTGACGAGGATGCTGACAAGAAGAAGAAAATGAAGAAGGTAAAGGAAATGGTAAGTGTTTGTCTCTATGTGCATATCTTTTTTCACTTGACCCTTTGCTGATTCGAAACTTTTTGCGCAGGTCACCAAGGAGGAAGAACTCAACAAGACGAAACCCATCTGGACCCGGAACCCTCAAGACATTAACCAAGAGGAATATGCCTCATTCTACAAGTCCCTCACTAACGACTGGGAAGATCACTTGTCTGTCAAACATTTCTCTGTCGAGGGTCAACTCGAATTCAAAGCCATCCTTTACGTTCCCAAGAGAGCTCCCTTTGACTTGTTCGAGAGCAAGAAGAAAAGGAACAACATCAAGTTGTATGTCCGACGAGTCTTTATCATGGTCAGTTGCTCTATTCCCTCCCTGATTCACGGAGGTATTGACATTCTTCATATTCACAGGATGACTGTGAAGACTTGATTCCAGAATACCTCAACTTCGTCAAAGGTATTGTCGACTCTGAAGATTTGCCCTTGAATATCTCTCGTGAGACCCTTCAACAAAACAAGATCCTCAAGGTCATCCGAAAGAACTTGGTCAAGAAGGCTATGGACATGTTCACTGAGATTGCAGAGGACAAAGACAACTTTGCTAAATTCTACGAAGCCTTCGGTAAGAACTTGAAATTGGGTATCCACGAAGATCAACAGAACCGATCCAAGTTGGCCGAGTTCTTGAGATTCCACTCAACAAAGAGCGGAGACGATCTTACAAGCTTCAAAGGTTTGACTTTTTTTCCAGTTTCTTGGCAATCTTGCACCTCTCTCATTTTGACTCTCGTATTTCTTTAGACTACATCACTCGCATGCCCGAAATCCAGAAGAACATCTACTATTTGACCGGTGAATCACTTGCCGCTACTCGTGACTCACCTTTCCTTGAGGTCTTCAAGAAGAAGTCATTCGAGGTCTTACTCATGGTTGACCCCATTGATGAATATGGTTCGTCCTTATCTATTCAACCTATTTTTGCGGAGCGTCGTCCTAATGTTTTCCTTCTTTCGATTAGCTGTCACCCAGTTGAAAGAATTCGAGGGCAAGAAACTCGTCTGTGTGTCAAAAGAAGGTCTTGAGCTTGAAGAAACTGACGAAGAGAAGGCTGCTCGTGAGGAGGAGTCCAAAGCCTTTGAGAACCTTTGCAAGGTCATGAAGGACAACCTCGGTGACAAGGTTGAGAAAGTCCAAGTTTCTAACCGTATCAACCAATCTCCTTGTGTTCTCGTCACTGGTCAGTTTGGCTGGAGTTCCAACATGGAACGTATCATGAAGGCTCAAGCTCTCCGAGACTCTAGCATGTCAAGTTACATGCAGTCAAAGAAGACTTTGGAAATCAACCCTCACAACGCCATCATCAAGGAGTTGAAGAACAAGGTTCAGGAAGATGCCTCTGATAAGGTTTGTTCAATCGTTATTCCCTCACATTTATTCTACTTGTCTGATAGTTTGGTCCTTGTTTGTCCATAGACTGCTCGTGACTTGAGTGTCCTTCTCTTCGAGACTGCTCTCTTAACCTCCGGGTTCACCCTCGATGCTCCTCAGCACTTTGCTGAACGAATCCACCGAATGATCTCTCTTGGGCTGTCAATTGATGTCTCCGAAGAAGTTGAAGCCACCGCTTCAGGTTCAGGGTCGAAAGATGATGACATGCCAGCGCTTGAACCGACCCCCGCATCTGCCATGGAAGAGTGAGTTTTATTGACCTTATATCATCAACAGCCAGAACTCATCACTGACGCTCAAATCTTCATTTTGCACCATAGGGTTGACTAAACGGATCGCATAGAAAATAAAATGGATGTTGAAATTCAAATACCACTTTCATTACCTTTCCTTTTTCATGACTAACCAAAATAATAAACTCTTCATAATGTGACTTTTTGACGACCGAAAAAAAATACACAGCTTTCGAGCTGATGCCTCTATTAACGTTTTTTCATTGTCCTTGTTTTGTACCATTGTCTCTTCTAACTGTTGTTGCAAATTCAAATTTATGTTGATGCACTTGGTGGCCGATGAGAGTAAACGCGAGAACAAAAGAAAGAACTTTATCCTCATCATGCGAGTTTCAGCATGATACACTGCTACTTTTTTTGGCGGTGGCTTATAAGTCTCGACCGACATCGTTTACTTTAGTCGCTCATCCTAAAATCCTCGAACCTTGCAGGCAATCTTCACTTCAATTCAGTACATCACAACATACTGTCGTTGTATAATAGATTGTCAAAAGAAATTTGCGACGCCCCAGGCGTCCTTTTTTTATTGTTTTTTTGGTTGTAAAGAAAAGATGAGCATTGCAACTTAGAGTTGATTGTCTTCAAACTCTTTTGTGCATGACCTCATGACTTCAGCCGCCTATTCAATCCATTGGCTACTTTCAATTTCTCTTTCTTCCCTTCTGATTGTTGAATCCAATTCCAATTCAATCGATCCAATCTCATTCGATCAATTCCTTTTCACTTTCACTTTTGATCAATTTCACAAATTTCAGTTTCATCCAAAACAAAGGATTCAGTAATGTTGGAAGATAGAGAAATGAATGATGGAGAAGAACAATACTAGAGACAAAAGATTCTGCTGGTATATCACAAACCATCTCGTGATAGAGAGCCTTTTTATAGAAGTTCTTGCGGACATTTGAAGTTCTACATCTCTTCAATGTGAGATTGAGTTGGGTATTCAATTCTAGATGTAATGTTTCAAGGGTAGGCAAGATACCACGGTCATCAAATATCTCAGATCAAAGTTCATTGAGAAAAAGTTGTGGCTTAGTTGCTACAATACACTTGATGAACTCGCAGTCTTCCTCTTCTGTTGTAGCTTGCTGGATCACAGATGACACACTGAGTATCCTAGTATAGCGTGACCCAGCAATTTAAAGTCCTTTGATGCAGAGCCTTGCGGATGGCTGCTGGAACCTCAAGGTCAGTCTTACCCTCTAGGATGAGGATCACATCATTGAACTTGATTTTGGCATTGTAGTGACAATAAGGCATCAATATGTTTGGTGAGGATTGACTGGATTGAGTAGAGTAGTAGGAAAGTTCAGCTGCAGTGAAGATTGGATGATAGTGATAGAAAAGGAACAACTTTTTTGCTAACAATTTCCATCAACCAGATTCCTCAGTCAATTCAGCTTATTACCATAAAAAGCTAATATTTCTGTTGATTTGTAATTCTCATTTGGGTGTCTTTCTAAAGAACAACATTACAAAGCTTGTCAAAATTTGTTTCCCTTTAGGTCTACTACAATATAAGCAAACACAACCTCGACAAGGGACAAATACAATCCCTGTGTGTTATACATTTCCTTCCTGTCTTGTGATAGTGATTGGAACTTGCAATGGTCATTTCAGGAGACTGTGTCTTCAAAACTTAGCACAAGCAGATTGCCTATTTGGGTCCAATACAATACTTGATCTTGATATCCCTACCCTTGCCTCTACACATCTATACCATAATTTGGGACTTTTCAGGAAAGATTAGACTTGGCCCACAGGAGTCCATATCACAAAAGTATCTTTACTTGCAGAGAGGTCTAGTTCTGTAACTCGCTTGCATTGTCAAACCTAAAAGCTGTATTCTTCTCTATCTGATTCAATTTTGAACATGCCAAGCACTCTATGCCATATTAATTGAGACAAGCATGTAGACTTTGATTTGTTCAACTGATTCTGGTTCACTTCAAAATCTCAGGGCTTGATGTAATCAAATTTGCAAGGTCTGTCACACATTGTTAGAATATCAACCAACAATAAATGCTTATGGAACTCCCAGGGTGAATAGTGGCATGTTTGACCAAGCCCATATCAGCAACTGAGATCTTCATTAATCATTTGAGAATAACAAAAAACAATCAACTAAAAGAAATCATTGAAATTGCTTCAAGCCATGGTCAAAAGTTTGGACGCAAAAAGCATGGTCCATGAGGGGCTCGAACCCTCGACCCTGGCATTGACACATAATGTATTAGTACCATGCTCTACCGACTGAGCTAATCGACCATGGCAAAAAGAGTCGCTACAGTGAATAAACTTGAAACAAGTTTGGTGATCACTGGTGTGACCACAATATTCCTGATTGCAATGTTGTTCCCTAGTGCCCCCAAGGATTCTTGGAGGGATATGTTGGCATGTGAAATCTTTGGTCAAGAAATTTACCTGTGTTGTAGAAGACAAAAGATGTATGGGAAATAAAACCTTGGTGTAAGATCTGAAGACATTTAGTGGGAAGTCTAAATGTAATCAATCTGTGGTTCTTTTGGAAGAAGGTAGGGGGTTGGGACTAATCAGGGGTTGTCTTTTCTTTTGTGTCTTTTGTTTCTTGAGTTACTAAATGTATTTGTGTTCCTTTTTCCCTTTCAGAGATCTTATTCCTCATATCTGATAATGATGATAATCTATCTAACAGGGTACAGTAATTTCTCTTTTTCAAACTGCTTATTGTTCCAATTCTGCGCAACTCAGCTCCACCAGCTACTAGTCATCGGCAGACTAGAGACTATCATGACTTGAAGGAGTTTTCAAACCAATTTGGGAGAGGGACCCAATGCACACCTCCTCCTGTATGAACTCTTGTCAGACTTGGTGCTCATTTCCAGTATCAAAGGTGCCTTGGGTATAATCATGAATATCCCTAGCATTACTTGGCAGGACTGTTCAGTATTCCCACACAGGTTGTGTTGGTGTGGACAAAACTGGTGGTCCAGAAAGTTGAAAATGAAAACAAACACGTTGACATTGCCAAAATCAATAAACTGGACAACTTCCAGGGTTTGAGTAAGAGCTGCTGCTGTCCTTGGTGATGGAAAGATCCATTGATGAATGAGCACTGCCAGCATTAACTAGGTTCTCAGGTGGGAAAATGTGCTAAGTTGGGGATATGATTTAAAGTAGACAATCCATAAAATTGACCTCAATTGCAAATATGAGCCATAACTTACACACTACATATGTCCAAACAACTGAGTAATTTTTCTAGCTATTAGGTACATACAGGGTGTTATTATCAACAGAAATTATTTAATGTATATGATGTGATGTCCTGAATTTATGGCATGACATTAGTGAAGTAACGGATAAGGGAGGGAGATCTCACCAATCACTACACAGGGATGCTCAGTCATCTGTGCATCTATACATTGTGTAACTTTATGCAGTTTGCAAGAAGTGTTTCAAAAATGGACTACATATACACCTATGGCTACTTGGTAAATATTCATGAAGGTGTTCAACAGTAACAGGATGGGGATGTGTTTTCTTAGAGCCATTTTCCCACCAGGGAACCACTTTGATGCTGGCATTGACTTCTGGGAGATTTACAAATCAGATAGACCCTTGTGCAATCAAGCCCTAGCCCCTGTCAACCTTCAAGGTGCATCCCAACTTCCAAGTGCACCCAGAAGGCGTTCCCGCCACATGAGTAATCTCAGAGGGAACATTCAATACATTCATGAATTGGTCTCAGATAGAAGGACATCTAGTTGGGCTTCAGCGGCATGTGAGTAGAATGAATTTGGCAGGATCTTCAGATGTGCATAATGAGTTCAGGATTGAGGCTCATGTAGTATCATTGTTCTTGTTGATTTTGGATCTTTCAACTCATCAACACACACTAATCTCGACAATCTCTTTTATATCCAGATTATGTTTTTAGCCATCTCACATGTATAATCTACCTGATGACTCTCAGTTGAATAATATATATCGTCACTTTGATAATGTCTGTATTTCACACCATAAGACAAATTGATTGACTTTTCACTGTAAGAATCAAACCTGGATAGAATTGATAAATCGAGCTACATCATCTCCAAGAATTGCGTGAACTCTTTTTGAAGGGTATAAGGAATCCTGCAAGAACAATTTGAGTAAAATAATATCAGTACATCAGCATTGATCTGATGTTTTCTCAAAGCTGTACTTACCGAGTAAAAGTATTGGTTTGGAGATGGGCAATATTTGCATGAATCGTTTGTGTTTACAATTCCATACTGTTTCCAGATTGGTCAGACAGATATGAAGAGCAATTCACTTGTGATTTTGTAGATTCACTTACTTTGGCGGGTGAATCGAGAATTTTGTTCCAAGTTGTCGTCGTGTCGAAGACTTTTACAAATTCGACGCTAGTAGAATTATCGCCCTTGAAAGAGTCGGCGATGGCATTCAATCCCTGAATTTTCGATACCAGATCAGTTAATCTCATAGTCATTTGATTCATGAAGAACTGGGACACTAGAAAAAGTTGTACGACATACGTCGTTGTATCGGCTAACTAAACCTTGAAGAATACTATGGTAGAAGGGAGCCGAGTCTGGGTTCCAGACGGACCATGATTTGATCTGGTCTACTGCCCTCGGCGAGCCCTCAAGGGGTGGTATTGTCATTAAGACGATAGTAGACGGGTACCTTGATAGCCCATGATTTGAGGAGATCATTTTTTTAGGTTTCATGTAGGAGAAAAACGTGAGGCGAAACAGTTGAGTGACTCACGTTTGAATGTCTTTATTTTTGGTCATCTTTTCAATTTGGGATCGAACAACCGCGACTTGTTGATCGACGAGTTTGTTACCTGAATCAGAAGGAGAATCTCCCTTGTGTGGAAGATCTTTACCAGCACTAGGTCTAAACCCAGAAAGAATTCCCCAAATCTCAAGAATTGGTTCAACTCCAACCCAATGAAAATATAACACTCTGCCTGGGCCAACTACTATCTGTTTCCTAGCGAGATCTTCAGTGTACTTCTCAATCTGAGATCGGGTGTCTTTAATGGAATCAGTACCAGGATTACCGACATTGTTGTCGGCGTACGCTCCCCCTCTATGTGTTGGAAAGAGTCATTCAAGAATGAGCAAATTTATTGTTGTTGTTATGGAGTCTCCCATCACATTTCAAAATACTCCAAGACTATAACTCAACTGTGCGTAATTGAATAGAGGAGTAAGCTCATCGGAGTAAAGCACTTCTACCAATCGCTCTGGCCAAGCTCTGGGGAAAGGTTCAACAACGTTTGAACCTGTTGGGAAAACAAGCTTAATCAGGTTAGAAAAATCATAGATCATTAAAACTGTAGAAGAATAATTCAAAAAAAGAAACCAACGTCGACGGTCTTTAAAGCGCCTAGTTCCATCAGCTAAAAAGTTAAACAAGTTGCAGTCAATAATCAAGTTTTAAGATGGGTTCAAAAACAAAACAAAAACTTACATGAATACTTATCACCAAAGATGACCGCGGATGAATATGTGTTCGCTGCTTCACTACAAATGATCAGACTATTGAAAATCACATGATGAGAGTTCGGTTTACCGAATAAACCCTTCGGGAACGTATTCTATTCACCTGTTCAAACTTAAGGCAGCAAAAAATAGAGATAAGACGTTGATCGAGTAAGCGTCCCTCATTTTGATGTAGATGGAAATTGGTCGTGAAATTTGAGAATCTAGCCGTTATTGGAGTAGATTGTGCAGAGAGGGTAGGAGGAAGTCTGGATGATGCAAGAAACGGGTATTTATGATTCTCTTTGAATAGGCTGATGTTTGTTTAAAGTCACAGTTTACTAAAAACGCCTTCAACGGGCCAAGCTTCAACGCCTCCGACTCGTATAACACACTTTTCATTGCCACACTGCTTCTCATACCTCACAAGATGGTTGCACCGGCACAAGGCCGGCTATTGTAGCTCCAATGCAGCTTGATATGTTCTTCCATGTGGCCGTTCACTTTACGGTATAATGCAGTGATTACGGTATACATACGACTATACATCGCGATTCACCACATCCCCGCAGGGCCCTGGCGAACTTTGCAGAATGTCAAGAAATGTTTGAATCTTTGTCCACGACGCCCAAGAATCGGGTAGGTTGGAATATCCGACCTAGTTTAGGCAAAAGGCCGACTATGTAAGTCATAGCAAGCGGTCCTGACGCCATAGAATTGTGTCAAAGTCGGCCGATCAGTTGGACAACAGGGGTCACAGATACATTTTGCTGAGCTGCCCGGTGCCCACATGTACCATATCTTGGTGTATCGGATCACTGCAGCATCTTTGGAACCCGGAATTGAACTTGGCTTGAGTAGTTAAAGCGGCCTCATTCATCTTACATACTCATCTCGCCACCAAATGAACTCAGCTCCTCTACATACATACATATGACTGTGTTTGCATGCGGTGCAGCCAAGTGGCGGGCCTTCTTACGTATTCTGCGGGTCAATTTTTGGCCGAGTGGTTTCTGAGGAAGGTTCAGTTAAGTTGAGGTCACTCTGAGCTACCCCTGACCACAGCCGGCCCCGTGCCCAATAGTAACCTCAATCAAGGTAATGTGGCATTGGGGTGAGGATACCGAATTATAAAATCAATGAGTCGCCTGTATGCGGATGATGTCACTGGTTTTTTTGATCGTACAGTTGTGTGATCAAGCACGGTAAACAAGAGATCATTGATAGATCTTACCATCATCATCAGCTTTTCCATCTCATCAACACATATGCCTGCGCAAAAGAGAACTCGTGCAGTTAAAAAACCATTTGACAAGAAAAGCACTCAAAAAACTCGTAAGTCTACCTTTTTAATTCGATTCATAGATCTTATCAATGAATACAATTTTCTATCTTTATCGCGATTGTCTTGAAGAAGTCAAGAATGTAGAGGTAGAAGACGATTTCAGGTTAATTTGAAGACTGTTTGAACGACTCAAAGATCCTTAGAGCTATGTTTATTGACCAAGCTGTCGGACCTATTAAACAGTTCTGATGCAGAGCTTAAGAAAGCGGCAAAGATGATCAAGAGTAAGGTTTTTTCAAAACTATTTCAGTTCCAATTCACACTTCTGATCAAAAGTTAATCTTCAAATCTATAGAAAAAAGAACTAAACTTGAGGAAAGCGATAATCAAAGGTTTGAGGCAACAGCACGAGATTTGAATTCTTCAATTAGTGCTGAAGCGCATAAAAATCTGGATGACCATCAGTCCAAAATGTAAGTCACTCAAAACAATCTTCAAACATTGAT